ATAAGTAAGCAAGTGCAAAATGAAAATTGTCAAGTCGTCACGAATCTCGACATATGCACAAGTCAAACTTCTACGACTTCCTATCGAGCAATTAATTATGTGTCTTACATTTATCGGAAGCATGTTTCATTGCGTGCATTTTGACAATAAGAATTAGCAAATTTATTGAAAAAATTAGGCCTAGTGCGAATATACAATAAGGACCGCAATGCTTGCATCGAAAATTGGAGTTCGCAAGTTTCCGCGTGCGGAGAAATTCGAAGTGGACGCTGAAATGAGCAGCGCCGGTACTCGAAGAGTCGCGATGTCATCGCCCGTAGCCGGAGGGTCGGTGTTCGAGGGTTAAATCCAAGGGTTTTGGGGGAGTCGCGGTGTCGAGGGTAAACATATACCTTGGCACAAGTACGCGCGTGCAAGCGTAGGCACGCTCACGGTAAATCCGTGCAAGCGACTCTCTTCGTCGCTTGGTAAGAACAATGGCGGGAACCGCGGATGCGTTGAGGATACTACTACAAAGGCCATATTTTCCGAATAATTTCACGTGACCCTTCGTTGGCCGTTAGGTAGTCGGCTGACCGAAAGAAACGAGAAAGATAAAGAGAATCACAGCGAGAGGTCGAGACGAAATCTCGCGACCGATGCGAGTTTTGAGGGAGGATATTTTCAAACGCGAAATGATTGCTCAAAACGTTGTTCCGCATCGTTACGCAATGCTTAGTGTAATAGACGAGATTCGCTAGTTTGCCCGATTAATTCACACTCGATCGATAATCGATCTAATTTTATATTAACGCGTTGATCCGTAGGAGAGGAAGAGGGCGGGATATATCCTTTTTATATTAAATATATCTCCGAATTATGGATGAGTATAACGCTGTCGTAACAATGGATACGAAGAGGATAGCAGAGTTTATGATACTTAATAAATTCCGCCCGTTGTGTGTATGTATGTGTGTGTATATGCGTACGTACGTGTGTCGTGTGCATGTGGCTCAACCTTCATTCATTCCGACCGTCGTGGCGGCGAGTCGTAGGACGAGAGAAAAGACGTGACGAGACCGACGAGAGATACCGGGCACTCATTTAGCCCGGCAATCTATTCTCGCGTTTTGTAATTAACACCAGGAAAGAAGTAGCAGAGTTATTCTTCTCCTACGGGCACAGGACGTGGCACGGGTGGAAGCGACTACTCCGGTCAGTCTGCCTCCTCCCCCTCCGTCATTTCGCTTCGACTCGCTCCACCTTCGACTCTTCCTCACGTGAAGAAAACGTACGTATCACTATTAAGCGTCAGGGCGGTTGAGGCCCGGAACCTCCTGGACCAACTCGAGAATAAGAAATAAAAGAAGACGAAGGAGAAGAAGATGGAAAAGAGCGGAGAAAGAAGGAGCAGAAGGAGGAGGAGAAGGAGGAAGAGGAGGAGGCGCAGATGAGGGAGGGAGAAGAATGGAAAAGAGACGGAGGAAAGAAAATGGGGGTGGGAGGTAAGAGATGAAGCGGGGAGGGCGAAGGAGGACGGAGGAGGATGATGGAGGCCTCTCCTCTGCATGCCACCGCAGTCAGCCCCAGACAGAAAGCGGTCTGTATAATTATGGGTTGTCACCTCATCAGCTCCGGGAGGGGCCAGGGAGGTGGCGGCGTTGGTCCAAGGCGCGGAGGCAAGGGCGGGGAGGTTATAGGAGTGCAGTCTTTAGCTCAAATTGTGTTTTATCGTCTCTCGCATTTGGCTCTGGGGGTCCCAACGGCGGTGACTGGAGGGTGATTGAGTTCGCCTGGAGCGTCTCCACTGCTCTCTTCACCGGTCCCCGCGCGCGATTTTCTCGGAAGATGTCCGCTTCCAGTGGACGCGACACGGTGGTGGACGTCGCTCATCCGGGTGCTGCCAATCTACGGGCATATCGCTCGCGAGCAAGACTGGGAAACAGAATGCGCTCGCCATTACGAGCGCTTCGAGTTAATAATCCGAGATCGCGGCTATGCGCGCTCAAAAGCGGGAAGGTGCGTCTTCCCTCCATGTGCAATCGGTCGAGCAGCAAGAGAGACGAGCGCGAGTTGCGCGTAAATGCGTCGTCGCAGGTCAAGGATCTCGAAATGTCTTCATCGATCATAGGATTCCGACACCACGCGCGCATTGTGGCCGGTAAATACGTATCGCCGGGGCTATAAAGTCGCGAAAGGTGCGTGTTTTAGGTACCCAGAATGATCGGAACGTGTCCCGACGCTCTCTGCTTTCTTCGGCGTCTCCTTCGCTCCCTCTCGCCTCGTGTCCCTTTTCTCCTTGTCTCGCCTTCCCCACCCGCTCTCGCGCATGCACGTACCAATCTGCGCGAGGGCACATATACAAAAAAGGGAGACTGCGCGAGAAGGTACTGAGGCTAAGTGGCGAGTTTAGAGGGATTTCATTAAATCATATGGATTGGGGATAATGTATGTTATTGAGCGGAGCGTTCAAATCGCGCTCTATAAGTTGTAATAAGTCCAATTTTAGGGCCGGTCATGGGCCGGGTCTCGCAGTGGTTGTCGAGCGATTCGGTCGCCCGCTTGCCGACGGCTGCCAATTGACCCGCGGCCGATGCGGAATGACAATCACTGGGACCGGCGAACCCGCCACTTACTCGTCAAACGGCCAGCCGGTCTGCCGAAATCACTGCCATTTAGATAATTTGTAATGAATAGGCACCACTCATTCCATATCCCTACCACCGATCTCCCCTTCTCCCTCCTACCCTGCTCCTCTCTCTGTCTCTCGTGGCCTAGGTCCCAAAAAGAGACTTGTCTGCCAAGTTGGTCCTCCAATGACAACAGTATCGTTTGTCTAAGATTTGAGGGAGACACAAGGGAGATGATACAATTTATTGAATACTCTGGCAAGATTCCTGTCAAGCGCGATTGGAATTAGTATACAATATATAAACTGGTACGATTAAAAAGTTTAATAATTGAAACGTAATGGAATGTACAGAAACCAGCTATGGAAATGATGGAATCACATCTTGAGTAAAAAGCATAGAACATAGATAATTACAAGTGTAGAAAGAAATAAAGAAGAAAGGATAGGTAAGATACAAAGGTTTTTGAGGTTACGGGGAAAGTAAGAGAAAGAAGAGAATTTGGCATAAAATATCAAGAAAGGAATCTTGCTCCAAAATGAAGACAAACAGAGTCGTCACATTGCAAATCCAATTATTTTGTTTGAATTTCTTTTTACATCTTTTTTACCTTTCTAGCTCACGTTACTTAGCACGTTTAAATGTATCAAGTTATATTCTACACGTCTAAATGACGTACCAAATGATGCGATTTAAAATAGCAAGAAACGTGTAAAAAGAGCTTCAGTCAAATAAAACGCTTATGTGTTTAAAAATAACACTTTGATTCACAGTGCATGTTGTAAAGAAAGATTGTAGAAAATTATCTTCTATGATTCGTATTCGTGCGTTGCGTATTCTAGAAGATTATTACAATTTGATTGCATACTATTAAAAGAAACATTCATACGTTTTTATGTAACTTGGTGGCACTTGAAATAATTCGGTTGCCACACACGCGTGTCTCTGCAGGGAATGATTGTCCCACTTGTGAGAATCTACGTTTCTCATATGGGGGAACCTAGGTCTCGCCATGCACAAAACAGATTCCGCTGGCACCAGTCCTGAGCGCCACACTGTACATTCCGACAGTATACTCAGCATATTTTATAGGGCCGCGTGCGCAAATGACCGTTCCGAGAAAGACACGAGCTCCAGAGACCATCCAACCGAACTGAGCCACTTAACAAAGAATGCGAAATTCCATCGTCGAACAAGCGGGACAGAAGGGAGGAAGGAAGAAAAGAACGAAGGAACGATCACGACGAGTTTCGAGAACGCGTGTACGCGCGAAGTGCTCGAAAAAATCATCGCGATGCACGCACGATCCGAAAGGTAGCGCGGGACGTAGCTCGTGCGATTGAAACGCGAGCCAACGTGGAAGTGCATCCTCGTCATTTTGGAGGACGTAAGGACCGCCGACCGGCGGAAACGCATCAACGTCGGCGCCGCGTGCCGACGTGACAAATAGCGGGACGTGGCACGCGGTGGGTATCGCGTCGCCCTTTTCGCGATACGCTTCTCCCTCGCGAGACAGGGAGACACGCGTCGAAGGTACGAGGCATCGATCAAAAAAACGTGACTGCGCATACATTATCACGCCGCGTTGCCGGCTGACGAAAGAGTCGGTCGCGCGCGTCCTGAAAAATCGAGGATCCCAGGCGGTGGCGGCAGAGGAGGCGGTAGCGACGAGCCGCGAAGAATAATACACGCGCGTTGCCGCACGTCCGATATCGAATATACGGGAATAAGCTCGATATACGGACGAGAGTGCGAGAGAGAGAGAGAGAGAGAGAGAGAGAAGCGTCGATACAGCTCGGCGATGAAACCCCAGGTCGGCGGTCTACCCGGGGCCCCACGGATTCGCGAGCGAATCCATCACGGTGGCTTGCTAAGGCGTCGCGCAAACACGGGCCTAGCGGCGCGCGAATCAACGCGCAGATTATATGCAGAGGCTGCGCCGCCTGTTGTGATTGATATTTGGTTAAGCTGCCGGCGATCCATCAAGCCCGCAAAAGCGCTCTTTATCCTTTGCTCGCCAGGAGCTACACGTCTCACCCGATTCCGCTGAAATCCGGATACACGCCCGTTCGCGTTCGGCCTCGCATCTACCCTCGCCCTACCCCCTGCTCGGTCCTTGGTTCTCTCGTCTCACGGACCACCGCCACCTCCACCTCCTCTTCTTCCTTCCTCTTCCTCCTCCTCCTCCTCCTTCTCGTTTCCTCCTGGCCACGACCGGGGCCACGAAAGGCGGAGAAAGATCGATAATTGAATTTACGCGGTTTCTTCGCGGAAGCCCGGGGTGAACGATCACGATACTCGCTTGCTCGCGTTGCGTATTCGCTATTCAAGTCGTAGGACGATAATAAGTTCTCCCTCGCTAAACGCCGCGTACGTACCTTTTGCTTGCAGACGTGCCGAGGATGGAAAAGTCGCCGCTTCTGGCGAACGGATACAATCACCCGCCCACGCACCTGAGCCACATGCAGTTCATGCAGCTCGGCGGGCACCCAGGTGCAGGACACACCGCCATCCTGTCACCGGCCAGTCTACCGCATCACCTGCAGGCGCAGGCACAGGCTCGTGCCGAGCAGGGGCTCAAGGTCAACCCGAATATGACCAACATGGAAGCTCTCGCGAGGTGAGTCTCTTTTATTCTTTCCCATACACAAGCCCCCCCCCCCCCCCCCC